ATTTAATTATTGAGGGAATCCGCCAACTGTTTCATAAATTTCCAGAGTTGAGAAATTTTATGTATCATTGGAAATCAGTTTATTCTTGTACTCGCACGATCTATTTTGGTTTATGAAATTATCGCTTGGGGTAGAACAACGAACTGTTATCTTAAACCGGTTATGGTCGCCCAGACTACACTTATTAAAATAAATTTAAAGAAAAATCCCAGATTTAACACTAAACTTTTATATTTAGAATTTAACGTTATAAATTTAAATCAGCTATTTATTATTTTTTTGTTTATATTGTTTTAAACACAAAATCATACCTTTGAAACCATCACACATGCTTGTAGAAAAAATCATATTTTGAATGTTTCTTTACTTAGAATTAATATCGAGATTTATTATCATTTTTCATTAAATGTTGCCCTTAGATTTGTGTATAATCATAAAATAAGAATTATTTATAATACAATTAATTGAGGTTTTCAGTTGAGATAAAAGTCAATGGCACGAGCGGGATTCGAACCCACGACCTTCGGCTTGATACGCCGCTGCTCTACCACTTGAGCTATCGTGACCTCGATCCACTCGGACATCAACTTCCCATCAACAGTGTGGTTGTAATTTCTACCAACATTTTCTCTGGTTTATAAATTATTATTTTAGAATAGCATCTAAAAATGTACATTAGTTTTTATTTTGAGTGTATATTGCGATAGAAGGTTTGATTGTATTAAAATATTTTGTTTGAAATTTAAATAATTAATTTCTAAAAAGATTTTTTTGGTTGATAATTTATTATTGTCGAATAACATCTAAAAATTGTACATTAGTTTTTATTTTGAATATATATTGTGGTAGAAGGTTTTATTTGTTAAAATGTGTGGTGATTAGTGACCGTTAATCGATATTTATTTAGAAATCTTGAGGTGCGTTCTGGTGTGATGTAGGTTTCAGAAAATTAAAGAAAATTTTGTTAAAATATTTTGTTTAATGTATTTTATTTAGCTCTGAAGAACTCCATACTTTCAAGCTCTAGTTAATCACCTAATGATAGCAGTTTAATTAAAAGAATTTATTTATATTTATTTATAAAAAGACAGGGCATCTATAATATATTAAGACTCCAAAAATCATTACGGTAATCATTTATGATCATCAATAATTCCCACAAATGAACAAAACAAATTTCTTTATCCTTGTGAAGGTTTAGAGGTTAAAAAAACTAGTCTATTGTTACGTCAGAATTTTTGATGATAAATCAACTAATGATCGTGTTGAGCGGAGACTAACCTTAACTCAGCAAATATTAAAATAAACGACAGAATTTTCAGAAAAGAATAAGAATGACAACGTAATTATGGTAATAATTTATTACTTCTATTAATCACTACGAAATTACAATGCAAGACAACCACTGTTTTTATCCATATACAGGTTTAGAGATGGAGAACAAGTAGCATGTTTAAGTTGGACAATCCATATTGGTTGGTCAGAATTTTTAGATTATCAAACAAGTATATCGTTCAACATAAAAATGCACAAACTTAACTCCTGGCGTACTTTACCAATTGCAAGTAGATTTTTCTTGTAAAACAAATTGACGACAGGGTTGAGCAGATGTTCGGGAATGTAACGAAAAGGTCTTTGTTAAAGATAATTTAAAATCTTTACAGTCTGATAATCCAAGTCCTGGGAAGTCCATTTATGTGTAGTGGTCTAATTGACCAAATTAATTATTTGAGCTAATTATTCTTTTTATCTAAGGTTTTGGTTGAAATGAAAAAGCTAGTGTCACGAGCGGGATTCGAACCCACGACCTTCGGCTCAGTACGCTATCTTGTCTTGGACAGCTCAAGTGTTAGAGCATCGGCGAACTGAGCCGAGGTTCGTGGGTTCGAATCCCGCTCGTGACACTAGCTTTTCATCTCAACCAAGACCTTTGGTAAAAAAATAACTAATTGAAACAATTAATATGATCAATTATGACCACTAAAAATACGATATAATATAATACGAAGAACGGTAACCTTCAGAAAAGTTGATTCGTTAAAGAATATAAAGGGAAAAAACGAGATCTATGTGAGTCTTGCAGCTATTCGCCGATCTTTTCCATGTTTGTTAGATTTCATTATGTTATCAGGAAAACAGAAATTTATAGTCTCTAAAGGCTGCCAAAGCTTCATAAGTAAAACACAACAAAGTTCATTCCACAAGTCAAATAACTACTGTTTGGTTAATGTGCCCTCCAAATTTATTGGTTACAGAGTGAACAGAAAAATTAAACCTTTAGAAATCAATAGTCTGGCTTCAGATGGGATCCTGGATGGGGATGGTCCAGGCCATAAATAAACTATCGTTGACAGTATAATCATTGAAGCATGCGAAAATTTGCCGAGAATATATTAATAATGAGAAATAAAATTGGATACTGCCAGGACACCATCACTTTATTTCAGCGTACTCATTCCCTTTCAGAGGCATCTAAAAATGGTAGGTTTTTATAAACTCTGTGGGTTTCTTTAAGCAGGGAATGAACACGATATTTTGAAATTTTGAACTAGGTGCAAATTTCAATTCCAGATCCCTTCTTTCGCTTCTTCAGTGTGGCCATTTCGCTTTTCCCCGACGCCGGCGGTCATCGGCTTTCACCCAGAAGTGGAAGTAAAAAATCGGACCGCAAATCATTTTCCAACCGAGCATTAGCCCTGGACTGGCAACGCTAAAAGCCGTGAATCGGAAGAGCATAAATCGACAAGAGGCACGACCCGCGAACTGAAGGGAGAATTGATAGGTGGCTATTTGCTGCACGTCCGGCAGTAGTCGCCTGGGATTTCGGCTCAACGGATCCACCGATTTCAAAAAGCGAAAACTTTTCCCCATTAATAAATTGACCGTTTGTTACGAACGGTTTTTTTCGAGCCTTTCCCCTGGCAAGGTTAGACGTTTGGAAAAAATTTCCTATCGCGAAGTAATGCCTATATTTTAGGATTATTGTAAAGTTTGTCATTGTAGCGTGTACGATACAAATATAAATATACGACTTCTGGTATTTGACCTTTTCGAGTACAGCTCCTTTCCGTCCACCATTCCAGATAAATGACACAATTTTTCTCCATGCGACGTGGTATTTTCATTGGTCTGGTTACTTATGTATGCAGGAATCAATGGGTAAATAAAGAATTGATTCGAAAAGTCGGAGGTTTACGCTGTTGAATCACAAAACACTTCAGAACGACAAGAGTTATTTCAAAATAAAATTAGCTCGACACACTTCTCGCCAAGAAACAAGTTGGACATCTTGTTTCTGCCAGATAAGAAGACTGTGAAATGTGTTTCTGAACTGCCCAATTGTACAATTTTAAATATCTCTATTCGTCTACACAAGTCTTGTAGGAAAATTCGTAAGTAAATTCAATAAAAATTAGATAGAAAAGGTAAAAATACCACATAAACAAAGTTCTTTTTTTTCCGTTTATATGATTTAAACAAGATTTTATTGACTTTAATCTTTGACTTATTGTCTAATAATTGACTTTAATTTAATTCTTTGCTTTAACAAATAAAATAAAGCCAGGAAGGTCGCTGATTACCAGATAGTTATTGACAATAATGCTATGAATTTCTGTCTCCTTCCCCATCTAACTTTTTCACTTCTGTTTCAAACGTAATGAGAATAGCGAATTTAGACGGCAAGCAAAAAATCAAATAAAACAATACCTACTATTGAATAACAAGGAATAGGATTTCCTTTAAGAAAAGCAAATAACACAGTACAAACAGAGAAGATGGAATGTTCAGTGAATTATGTTTTATCTGAAATAATTTAAACATTACGTTTTTACAGATGCATGCCCTTGAGAACAACAAAGAGCAACGTACTGCTAGAAGTTAAAACTACCAATTAATAATAAAACAACATTCTTAGAGAGAGAGAGAGAGAGAGAGAGAGAGAGAGAGAGACAGAGAGAGAAAATTGTTGAGTGAGTGAGAGAGAGAACCAATCAATAATAAAAAAAAAAATAATAATAAAACTACATTCCTGGGAGGAGATTCTGAAACTATTTTAAAATTGTTGAGAGTGTGAGAGAGAGATAGAAAGGGGGGAGAGTGAGAGAGCGAACCAGTCAATAATATTAAAAAATAATAATCCAACATTCCTGGGACCAGATTCTGAAACTATTTTAAAATTGTTGAGTGAGTGAGTGAAAGAGAGAGAGAGAGAGAGAGAGAGAGAGAGAGAGAGAGAGAGAGAGAGTGAGAGAGAGAAAGAGAACCAATCAATAATAAAAAAGAATAAAAATAAAAAAACATTTCTGGGAAGAGATTCTGAAACTATTTTAAAATTGTTGAGTGAATGAGGAGAGAGAGAGAGAGAGGGAGTGAGAGAGAGAGAGAGAGAGAGAGAGAGAGAGAGAGAGAGAGAATTTGTGAATGAGTGAGTTATAAAAGCTTAGCTTACATAAAAAATATCTAAAAATAGTATTGCCTCTATTCTCAAGGCAGAGAATGTGCATTATGACACTGTTGGATAGTCGAGTTGCCATCACCAAATTGATATTCAGGAATTGATTTCTATTTAATAGGAGAAAATTAAAATTTTTACCGAAACGAAAGAAATAGTTGAATATGTAAATGCGCACAGAATGGAAAGCGCTTGATGAAATATGATGCGGACATGTGGACGATTTTTGGACTGTATGATCAAAATCTGTAGCTACTTGATTTGAGATTTGTACGTTAGAATACGCATGAAAATTTAAAGCCATTATAAGAAACAACGCTATCTAAGAAATTTGAAAAGAACCCAACTCAAGAATGTTTAGAAGCATAAATTAATAATAACAACTGGTGAGATGACTAAAAAAATAATTATAAATGATCCTTCAACATCAATTGAGTTGGCGAATTCTACTTCGTAGAGCAACCATATGAAGGAAGAAAAGGAAAAGGAAAAAGTTTAAATAGTTAGTCGTCGGTTAAGATGAGGAATTTGTGTCTCTAGGATCAACGTCACGATAGCTCAAATGGTAGAGCGCCGGGGTATGAAGCCAGAGGTCGTGGGTTCGAGTCCCGCTCATGACATTAATTTCTCTTTGTTGCATAAAAAGATTAAAAATAATAAAAACTGGTAAGTAATAAAACTTATTATAATCCGGGAAAATATGGAAATATATTATCGCCTTAAGGTGAAAGTCGATAAAGCCCCAATAAAAAAATAAAAACAACATCAACAGGGAGTCAAGTAATTGCGACGTTGTTTCACAAAATTGCTGTTCGCCGACGAGATGCGGGAACTCGTTAAACGGCCTCTCGAACGGCTCGTTACTTCAATTGTTTGCAAACTAAAAACGCATTTTTCAACGTTTTTCCACAAATGAAAACGCCTTAACAAGACTTTAATTCAATAAATTCAAATTGATTAAATAGTCTAATTGCTTCCAATTAGTTTCTGTGAGAGTGGAATCCTTTTTATTTAATGTGTTTTCTTATCATAAAAAAATAAACTAGTTGGTCGTAAAAGACTAGTGGTAAAACAACAGCCCTCTTCATTTCACTTATTTTGTTTTTCACTTGACCCACAAAAGAAATTTTCTGCTGATTCTCTGAGTCGCTGAATCTGCCGCGCTTCCAACACGATTGGACGAGGTTATTCTTCTGGGTGAAGATCCTTCATTGAGGATCGGTTGAATGAGGGCAGTGTCCTTTATGTCGCGTCATCAAACATTTTATTGTTAAAACGCATTCTACAGTGAGAAAATAAACCGAATATATATGAACCAATTTATCTGGAGGTTTTTATAGAAAATCTTCGAAGAGAAAATATCACGAAATCACGGTTGGATTGAACCTTTTCTTAGTTTAGTAATTTCAAACTTTATGTTTCTTGGGAGATTGGTTTTAAACAGCGGAACATAAAAAACTATTGTTTTTCAGGAAAAGAAATATTGTTTTCCTTGTTTTTCCCTTCAAATTAAACTTTACTAAAACAAGCGATAACAAGGAATAGGTTACCGTAAATAAATAACCATATACGATCAATTGTTTGTGGTTAGTTACTTTGGGTTAGAGTTAATGGCGGGTGGTAGATTGCTTTTGTTTTAGAGATAATTTCATTGGCGATTAGACGAATTAAAATTGTGATCAAAGTCTATAAATAAAAAATAAAACTTTGTATCAAGGAGATGGAGATGGGTATTTTAACCTCAGGTAAATTATTGGTCAAAACAATACGTTAACAGAGACAGCATCTTTTTCGTTTGCTATATGTTAAAAATAATTTTACAACTTTCAAGTAATAAACAATCTACTTTTATCATAATAAGATTATTAAGATATTTATTTAGAAATCGTAAGATGCGGTCTGGTGTGATGTAGGTTTCAGAAAAACATTTTCTTTATCGTGCGAACGTTTCGATCTTTATTGAGATCATCTTCAGGGCCTGGGATTTACAAACATTGTTTACTTCTCTCGATCCACTCGGACATCAACTCCCCATCTCTTGAAAAATGGCAAACGGAGGGAAAACTCATAAGGTGGGGTTGAGATGGGGAGTTGATTTCCTAGTGGATCGAGGTCACGATAGCTCAGGTGGTAGAGCAGCGGCGTATCTAGCCGAAGGTCGTGGGTTCGAATCCCTCTCGTGCCATTAACTTTTTTCATCTCAACTAAAAACCTTAATTAATTGTAAAGTATTAATTGGTCAAGCGGACCACGAAAATAGTGAATTTATGTAAACAATGTTTGTAAATCCCAGGCCCTGAAGATGATCTCAATAAAAATCGAAACATTGGCACGATAAAGAAAATGTTTTTCTGAAACCTACATCACACCCGACCGCATCTCACGATTTCTAAATAAATATCGATTAACGGTCACTAATCATCACACATTATTAAGATAAGAGAAAAAATGTGATATTATTTTAACAGGTAAATGTTTACTCGACGGATACACAATTTTTTGTGTGGCCATATTAAAGTAATCAGTTTCACATTAAAGAGGAATGGCCAGGTTTGCTAGGTTTAGGGTTAGGATTTCATAGAGTTATAGACGGTTAGGTAAGTTAGGAAAGGTTAGGATTAGGTATCGTTGGGGGAAAATTTAGCTTAGGAATAGTTAGGTTAGGAAGGATTAGGGTTAGGTAGAGAGTCAGGTTAGATGGGGTTGGGAACAGGTTAGGTTCCATTTTCATAGTTCAATGTTCTTCATCAAGACAAAAAGAAATGCGATTCTACCTAGGGTTTTTGACTCAACATTAATATAATTGCAATTGTATGTTTCTTAGGGACCGGTTGTTTCATAATTTGTTGAAATCGTAAACTTGACCGCTCCACACGACTTCATCAAATAATTACAATTATTCTTTACTATTTTTTATTTTAAATCCATTAGATTTCGTGGTTCGATTGACCAAATAGCACCTTTTAATTAATTAATCTTTATGTAAGTTATTGGTTGAGATAAAAAAGTCGGTATCACGAGCGGGATTCGAACCCACGACCTTCAGCTAAATACGCCGCTGCTCTACCACTTGAGCTATCGTGACCTCAATCCCCACCTAGTGGTAGAGTAGCGGGGTATGTAGCCGAAGGTCGTGGGTTCGAATCCTGCTGGTGACACTGACTTTTTTATGTCAACTAAAAACCCTAAAACCTAACATTGGCTCTGGCTTGTTCGATCGAGCAATGATAACTATCCGATTCTTAGTCTACGTTATCGTTTTTCTCGATCTAACAGGACCTAACAGAGTTAACAGGGTTAACACAAAGATCGTGAACACACCTACAATGTGTCATGTGTCAAATGTCGTGTAATCGGATTGGATTCTCGGCGACAAATGAAATGGCCACGGAGAGCTTTAGTGAAGTGTGCTTCATTTTAAATCATTAAATTCACTAATTTCGTGGTCCGCTTGACCAATTAATATATTAGAATTAATTAAGGTTTTTAGTTGAGATAAAAAAGTCAATGGCACGAGCGGTATTCGAACCCACGATGTTCGGCTAAATACGCCACTGCTCTACCACTTGAGCTATAGTGACTTCGATCCATCGGACACTAACTTCCCATCTCAACCGAACCTTCCGAATTTCCCTCCTTTTGGCCATTTTTCAAATGTCGTGTAGTCTATTCGACTCGGCGAAAAATAAAGTGGCCACGGATGGCTTTCGTTTAGATATAGTTCATTTAACTTATTAAATTCATTTAATTTATTTTTGGAATTTCGTGGTCCGATTGATCAAATCACCTCTTTCAATTAATTAATCTTTATGTAAAGTATTGGTTGAGATAAAAATTCGTTTTAAAGTTTGAAATACTAATATATCTATACTATCTAATATATATATATATATACACTAATATATTTTTTAAGTTAATATAACCCAATTCGCTCTTCTAAGAAAAAGTGAAGGTTGTTGAACAGGGTACATATTAGAAAAAAAATCTAGCTTCATCCCTGAAATACAGCTTGGGTGAATGAATTTATCACGCTTCATCAATCATCAAATATGACTGATAGTGTTTTGACGGAGGATATTCAACATGCGAAAAGTAATACGGATGAAGATTTTTCAAAGCAGAGATTTTTTCTGATACGTGAGACAGGTTCTCTTCGCCGCTTCATAATTATCGGCCGTAATGCCGTTTTCTACAGGATCCATCGAATATAGTGTTTAAACACTTTTAGGCATGTTGGATTAATTTCTGTCCGACGTCCGGACAGTGCTAACGATCCGAGAATTAACTCAGCCATGAAAAATAGACATCACGATCGAGAGTAAAAAGGGTTTTCTAATGTTTTTTAAAAATATTTCTTACTTATCCAATTATCAAAACACATTGACTTGATTAATTAATATATAATATGATTGACTAGTTCTTGACCCACAGCCAACATTCATTAAACTTTTTTTCAACTTCTTTTCAAATTCAATTTCCATTCAATAAGTTCATTTTTTTTATAACAACCGGAAAATCTGCTAGATAATCCGAAGGCCAAACATTCACCGAAATTGGTATAGAAGAACGTTCCAGTCCTAGTGCAATACTTTGTGCAAAGTCACAAGGCCTTGCACTGTCATGTTTGGAAACGATTCTATTCGCCTTCGTTTTTCCTTGAAGTCCCAGTTACTGTGACTAGTGAAAACAATATTTGACGAAATTGATAGATTAGTAGGAAAACAAGTTGGTTAAATACCACCAAACATAGAGATCTTTGGTATAGTCCGACCTAGAAATGACCTAGAAACCGTCAAAGATCATTGGAGGCTAGTTCTATTCTACTTCTATGCATTTGTCTGCCCAGTCTCGCAGCTTTACTGTTGCCTAGTTTAAAAAAAACTAGCTTGTTTAAAATAATAATAATTAGTTATGTTAAAAATGTAATCTACCTTGGATAAAATGCCATATAATAAAGAGAAGATTGTAGATGTAGATGTAATATTTCAGGGTATGGTATACTGCGCCCTTTAAGAGCTATTGTATCCCCCGTGCTCTGCCTAAAGCACATCGGTGAGTCCTATTTCATCAAGAAATTGATTAATAGGCCCGGTTTTAATGGTTGAAGCTCTTCTATGGTCACATCGTACATCCTAAAACATTTCCTCCTGCGGGCTCATGTAGCTCCGCAGTTTGTTAGTAAGTGTTGGTGTCTCTTCTGCTACCTTGCAGAATCTACATGTGCCGTCTTGGATTGTTCCAATTTTCTTTAGGTGTCCGTTTAATCTACAGTGTCCTGTTAGGAATCCTGTTAGGTTTCGCAGCCTGTTCCTGCTTCCTTTGACACATTCTGTGATTTCTTTCCTACCAAAATTGGTTAGAAAATTCTTGGATTGTCTATGTCCAATAAGTGAATTCCATTGTTCCTTCATTTTCTTTTTGTCCTTCTGTCTGAGATATTCGTTAATAATGTGGATTCCTATACCACAGAAGGGTTTGGGTCGTATCAGCGGTATGGCAGCCCCTTTCCTTGCAAGGGTGTCCGCTTTCTCATTGCCTTCTACTCCCATGTGTCCTGGGACCCAGCAGAGGCTGACTTTATTCTGCATACCTAGTGTGTTTAATTTTTTTTGCAGTTCAG